GTCGGACTTCCCTTGCTACATAGTTTGTAATCTGTGATAGTGGAAGTGTCTGGTGATTGCTGTGACGTCAGGAATACCCTGGCAAAGGTCAAGACACCTACATCTCTATTCTGGCAAGATTAAACTTAGAACTGTTTAATAGTTCATGATAGATTGTTAGTGTATTTTAGAGGCTCTCTTGTGCCTGATACGCATGTTGTAGGTTTATTGGGCTTTGTCACAGTGCCAATTGTCATATTCATCACGTGTAGACTTAATGATTGTATGACCGTATTATTACAACCAATTTATTTTTATTTTGGTAGAGAATGTGCAATTTTCTGAGTGAAGTATATCAAAATTCCAAAGTTTGTTTTACAGAAATTAGTAATTCATTGCAGTACAGACATACTCACCAGAGACACTCTATAACCAGTTAAGTTGCTGTGATTGGGAGTGCCCCTTAGGCTGTCCGAGGGGAGGGTTGGTGTGAGGTTCTGCCCCCTCCCCCCCCTGGCATACATGTCTCCACTTCAGTATATATGGCGTGATAGAGCTGAAACTTAATAATACGGAGTGGACTTGGGCTATGAGTAATACTTTCTGTATTCTTTTGCCTATATTTGCCTATTTTTGCCTATTTGTGTCTACAGATTATTATTTGTACTTAGAATTGGAACTTTTTTGCATTAAAAGAATATCAACTTCAATTTGCCGTAGCTCTGTGTGCCCATACCACAAAGGTTAACCGAGATTTTATGCAGGAATCAGAAAAGGAAAGAAAGCCTTGATTAATCGTAACTGTATGGATGGACTAAATAGCTAGGGCATATTTAAGATATTCTTTTAAAGGATAAGAAGTGGTAGTTGTTATTACAAGAAATGATCTAGAGACACAAATAGTAATGCCTTATAAATATAGGAAAATTGTGGAAAGCACTTCCATCAGCCCAAGTACACTTGAAGTTTCCAAGTTTCAGCTCTATTATGCCATGTATACTAATATAAATATAGTGATTGCCAGGGGGGTGTTGCCTAATTGGTAAATTTACAGTTATTTATTCATTTTATTTATTATGATGATGATGATGATGATGACGACAGTCGGGATTATATTTATTTATTTATTCATTTATTTATTTATTATTATTTTTTTTTATTATTATTATTATTATGACAGTCGGGACTTCCCAGACAATATTTATATCAGGGAAATTATGGGGCATAACAGGCTTGAATAAGAAGAATAGCGAACAGAAATACGTAAAAGTAACACAAAAAACTGGCTAATGAAACTTTGTGTATGCCCGCCACCTTTGAAAGTTTGTGCACCGATGCGCCAAAGTTAAGAAACTCAACGGGAACCCACCCCACCTTTCGGCAAAATCTATGGGATTTCACACCTTCCAAACCCATCACTTTTTGCGGGATTTGGGGTACTTGATGGCCTCAGAAATCAAACTGATAGTTATTAAGGTCTTTTTCTTCTGATATAACACTTGTGCATGTCTTCCCATGAAGAAATTTGGCCAAGAATTACTGATGGAAAGTTATTGTCACGGGAAAAATTGTGGTGGGTGACGAGAATTTCTCATTATAGGAGAGAATGTAGCCAAGGGATGGCTTAATGCCTAGAGTTTGATCCATGACAAGCTGGGTAAAAAAATTAACATAACATTCTTAATCAATGCATAAACTTTATTGAAGCACATCATCCTTTCAGATTTTTCACCCCGTGGTGGTGGATTCCGTGGAGGGAGAGGTGGAGGAGGAGGAGGAGGATTCTCCCCTAGAGGTCGTGGTGGAGGAGACAGAGGATTCTCACCAAGAGGAGGAAGAGGTGGTGGTGGAGGAGACAGAGGTTTCTCACCCAGGGGGCGTGGTGGAGGACGTGGAGGTGGCCGTGGGCGAGGAGGTGGACGTGGTGGAGGACGAGGTGAGTAAAACCTATCTTGCTGGATTAAGTAAGAGTAGCTTTTTTTACTTTATTATTATTATTATTATTTTTTATTTTTTTTTTTTTATGTTCATTTATTTGTTGGAATTTTTACTATCATCGTTGCATCTGATATTTTTATTATTAATAGGTTTTTGTTCTACATATTCTCACATGTCACTGAAGATTTACCATAGGATAAACTTTTCTTTTCAGGGGGATTCAAAGGTGGCAAAAGTGTTATGGTCGAACCCCATCGTCATGAAGGAGTGTTCATTGGCCGTGGAAAGGAGGATGTGCTCTGTACCAGGAATCTTGTGCCAGGAGAAAGTGTTTATGGAGAGAAACGTATCAGTGTTGAGGTAAATATCATCATTTTCTGACATCCTATCAAAACTTAGGTAGATGCCTCAGGACCTTAGCTGTGAATTGGGCAATAACCCAGACAACATGCTAATTTTACCTCTTTTGAAGGAGTTAATACCTTATATACTGATCTATTGTTTTACATATTGAAGTTTTGCAAATTTTAGTAGGCAAAGCAAAGCTTAACTGGTAATGTAAATTTGAAATTGTTTTTAGTATAGTCTTTCTTTAAATATATTAAGGGGACCGTCCCGGAAAATGGCCACCTTTCCCTACTCTTTACATCTTTAAAAAAATATCGGTTAGAGATAACTGATTGATTCTTTTTGCATGATATAGAGTAAAGAATTGCGCTCCGTTATATATATAAATTTTAACTTTGTTCCCCCATTGGGGGGGAGGGGGCACCCCCTAAAAAGTCGAAATTTTTTTGGTAAGTCTTCGGTACATCCCAACTATCACAGTTCTTTACTGAATTTCCCAAAAAATACTTTTTTTTTTTTTTTTTTTTTTTTTTTTTTTTTTTTTTTTTGCCGGGGAACAGCTTGACAGAGAACTATTTTTGATTTTTTTTTTTTTTTTTTAGCATTAAAATAATAATATTTTTTGATTAAGGCAAAAATTAAAAAATCAGCCTTTTACATGGCCTTGGGATGCCGAGGCTCTAGTGAAAGCAACAAACTGCATTTGAATCACATGAAAATTACGTGAGTTGGGATGTACCGAAGATTCATAAAAAAATAACGGAACTACAGCGTTTTGTATTTGGCCCCTTGCCAAAGTTCGTTATCTCTGTTATTTTTCTCTGAATCTAATGATATTATATATCAAAGAAATG